TATATATATATATATAGATATTTAAAAAAATTGGTGCAATAATGACAATCGTCACCGTGAATTACAAAGACAATAAAATATGAAATGTCCACACATTTAATTTTTAAAGACGTAATTGTCATTGAAACGTAGCCTGGACATGTTTTCGTGAGTTTCATCCAGTATATGCCTGGACATGAATATGTATGATATGCCAGTATCTCTCTGATGTACATGATGTTTTCCTCCTCAACAGAGCGCAGTTTAAAGGAGAGCACTCTGAAGTATATTGAGCTTCTGGAGGACAGACTTCACAGGTAATGAATATTTCTCATCTCTCTTTCACACTAACAGCCCCTCTTCTCGTCCCTCGGGTGGTTTTTCCTTATTATTTAAACAGTTCACACTGTCTGGCCTTATTTCAGTTCTGTCTCTCTGGATGTTTCAGTGTATTAAATCATTCAGGTCTGCGCTGACTGCATCAGTCTGTTCCTGATGAGCTCGTCTTCATCTGTCCAAAGTGACGTCTCAAAATTAACCAAATGAGATTAAAAAAAATGTGGACTGCCACTTCAATAAATGGTCTCGCTAGAAAAATGTATTTGTTTTGAGCACTCTTGGCTCATTTTTGGTGTGTTTAATGATTTTTAGAGCTCTAGAGCCACTTGCAGCTTTTTCTGGACAAGAACCACCCAGAAGAGACCAATCATTTTATTTAATAATATTGTATACATAGGAAAAAAAAAATATATATATATATATATATATATATATATATTTTTTTTTTCCTATGTATACAATATTATTAAATAAAATGATTGGCAAAATATTAATAAAAACTATAATAGTATTCTAGTAATACTAAAATAAGACTGGATAAACCTGAATCTCCTTGAAAATATATAAATATTAAAAAAAAAAAAGTTAAATGCAACTAACAACTGCAACTAGCTATATAAGTCAGAATTATTATTATTAATTATTATATTAATAATAATAATAATGATCATAATTACAAATAAAAATGGCTATTTTTTTTTATATTTATATTTAAACCTGGATATCCTTGAAAAATATAATGCAAAAATATATAAATATATTCATGCTGTTTAATGCATTATGAATAATTTAAGGACATTATTATTTAATTTTGTATGAGAAACAATTATTGGACGTCATTTAATGTCCAGTGTAAAATCTGGCTCCTGAAGCAAAACCATTTGAGAAGCACTGGTTTAATTAATGTGAAAATGGGAACACAATCCTGCCCTGTTATTTCTGACCTTGTGATATTGAGTCCACATGATGGGAGGACCAGAAGCTGTAAATTTCATGAATAGTAATGGAGACGAAAGGTTAAACGAGTGCCAGACTTTCCTTCGCCGCGTAATCCAGCCGCATATCTCCACGAGCGACGTGGTTTTATTTAGCTTCGCTCTCGACATAAATGCAACACAAATTGGCATAATTGAATGAGTTATTAGTAGCCGTACCCAACCGTAGAAATGTAGCATTCATTACATTTCAATAAAACACTATGGGCGGCCATCTGGAGGGAAGTGTGGCATATGGTTTACCGTTCGCTCCTTAGCAAAAGCACATGCTCGGATGCCAGAAGCGCTGTCTGTTGCCAAGGTGATTACTGTACGAGTTGAAGAGGAGGGGCCGCGGCGCGGGACTCTCTCCGGAAACCCTCGCTTCTCACTTTCCTTCAATTTTATTTTAGCCGGAGTGATTGTTCTCCTTGTTACTCACCATGGAAACCTGCCCGCGATGGCTCTGAAAGCAGGCAGGCATTAGCCGGCGGTTGCACTCAACCCCGCCATGGGTTCTTTTGTTAGCCGCGCTCAAATAAATGGACTCTCCCTCGTTTTATTTTTCTGCAAATGGGAGTATTAAAGGAATAGTTTGGCCAAAAATGAAAATATACCATTCGCTCACTCTCATGACTTACTTTTTTCTGTTCAGAATGTCCACACTGATTGTTTTCATACAGTGAGAGTAAATGAGGACAGACACGGTCAAACTTTTTTTTTTTTATTATTATTACATAAAAAGCAGCATTAAAGTACCTTTTATGTCATTTTGGATCCTCTGGTCATTATAAGTATGAAAAAATTATGTGAACGTTTTCCTAAATTGATTTTTGTGGTCAACGGGAATTTTATTATTATTTTTTTTAATGTTCATTCGTATTATTAATATTAAAATTATTTTTAAATTAGGTAGAGTATGCAGAATATATAAGCTAAAAGTTTGGAATAAATCTTTTTTTTTTTTTTAATGTTTCTTCTGCTCACCAATGCTGCATTTGTTTGATCTAAAATACAATAAAAACAGTTATATTGCCATTTACAATAACTGTTTTCTGTGTGAATGTATGTTAAAATGTAATTTATTTCTGTGATCAAAGCTGTATTTTCAGCATCATTACTCCAGTCTTCAGTGTCACATGATCTTCAGAAATCATTCTAATATGCTGATTTGCTGATCAAGAAATATTTATTATTATTATTATCAATGTTGAAAACAGTTGAGCTGCTTCATATTTTTGTAGAAACCATGATATATACACTATGATTCAAAAGTTTGGGGTAACTAAGATTTAAAAAGAAGAAGAAATTAATACTTTTTTCAGCAAAGATGCATAAAATTGATCAATGGTAACAGGTAAGACAGTTATAATGTTACAAAACCTTCTATTTCAAATAAATGCCGTTCTTTAGAAGTTTCTATTTATCAAATAATCCTGAAAAATAAAATGTATCACAGTTTCCACAAAAATATTCAGCAGCACAACTGTTTTCAACATTGATAATAATCAGAAATGTTTATTGATCAGCAAATCAGCATATTAGAATGATTTCTGAAGATCATGTGACACTGAAGACTGGAGTAATGATGCTGAAAATTCAGCTTTGATCACAGAAATAAATTACATTTTAATATTCACATAGAAAACAGTTATTTTAAATTCAAATAATGTTTAATACTGTTTACAGTTTTTACTGGGTTTTTGATCAAATAAATGCAGTTTTGAACACCAGCACCACTGTCACAAGCATATCTCTCACTCAAGGCCATTAAAAAGCAACAGCTGTGGCATTTGAGGGGTAAAATCAGTTTATCTGTATCATTTTCCCCGTCACCCCCTCCATCAGGCGATTCCTCTCTGTTTGTGTGCATGTAGATGTTGAGGTAATTGACCAGTTCCCTTTCATGGGAACTTCGAACTGCGTCCTCTAGGGGTCGCTATGGGGAACGCCTAGTCGTGACCCGTGTCTGAAGCATACCGTGGGTTGTGAATTCACTAGCTCTTTTTCCTGTGGGAGGATCCTGTCAATCAGATTACTGCATCTGTTAGATATCAGAAAACGCAGAGAGATGATTGTTGGTCTTTTTTTGTGGTGCCTTCAATCATTTTCTTTCCTTTAAAACATCAATTATAGCCAAATGTCATCTGGTCATAATCACCAAGGGTCTGCTTTACTAAGCATTAGACAAAGTATCACTTAAAAAAAATTCTGGTTTTACTAAATTCTATTATACCTAGCAGTGATGTGTGCTGTGAATGTTTAGCAACATTCATTATTGGAATCCAACATTTTATCATCGTTCTAACATGCCACGTATTCTGTTGGAATCCAACATTTTAGAAACATTCTAACACATCAAAATTAATTGGAATCCAGAATTTTAGCAACATTCTAACACATCAAATTCTATTGTAATCCAACATTTTAGAAATATTCTAACACGCCAAAATTGATTGGAATCCAACATTTTAGCAACATTCTAGCATGTCAAATTCTGTTAGAATCCAACAATTTAGCAACATTCTAACACCTCAAATTCTATTGGAATCCAACATTTTAGAAACATTCTAACATGTTAAAATTGATTGGAATCCAACATTTTTGCAACATTCTAACACGTCAAATTCTATTGGAATCCAACATTTTAGAAACATTCTAACATGTCAAAATTTATTGCAATCCAACATTTTAGCAATATTCTAACACCCTGAATTCTATTGGAATCCAACATTTTAGAAACATTCTAACACGTTAAAATTTATTGGAATCCAACATTTTTGCAACATTCTAACACGTCAAATTTGATTGGAATCCAGTGTGAGTCATGCAGAGATCCTTAAGCTTAATACTCATTTATATTACCCTCTCAGCTCTTCATGATGCATGAACCAAACACAAACATGTAAATAAATCTTTGTAGGTTTGTGTGGCAGCTGAATGAAACCACCAGGAGGAGCAAAGCAGGCTTTCTGGGGAGGGTACGGCATTGTCCGTTATCGCTTTAGGAAGCTGTCTGTCTCTAGAGACCCAGGTGTGAAGATCGTAATTATCATCCTCTCTGTGCGCTCTCACAGTTTCATGGACTGTATGAAACAGCAGGGAGCTTTAGTGCCTCTATATAGAAAAAAATATGAAGTTGAAGCCAAAAGAGTCCAACCCAGCCTATTGTGGTTCCTCCTCCAATGTAAGTCTGAGATGTTATTAATCTGCCAGCGAACACCACTAATGACATGGCATTAAATTTGATACCTTCTAGCATTGAAAGAGCTCTCAAATGTGCTGAAACGTGATATTTTACAACTATTAACTATCATGTTTTGTGCTGTGATTGAATAGTAGCTCATGAAATAGTTTTTTATAATCTACTGTTCAATCATTTGAGGTCTGTAAGATTTTTTTATGTTTTTGAAAGAAGTCTCTTCTATGGAAGTCCTAAGAGGCCATGGATTATTAATATTTTTCTTGTTTTCTCGTGATCACGACATAACAAAAGTTGTTTTCTCATTATCACGACTTAATTTTCTCGTGATCACAACATAACGAAAGTTGTTTTCTCGTTATCACGACTTAATTTTCTCGACTTAAATTTTGCTTCGCTTAGTAATAATGTCTACAATACATAAATAAAGGCTGATCAATCACTGTTTATATTTCCAGAGACAGTACGCTAAACATTTTGTTTGTGTAATTAACATGTTTAAATGGTCAAAGCAACACCGCAAACACAGGCAGAACACCTTCAGAAGGATGCAGAGAACTATTCTAAAATCTTTTAGAGCTGCTAAAAGATTACAACACTGTAGAATATCACTGAATTAAATAAGCCTATACACTTTACATATAAATCACATTTCTTATCAATATACGTTTAATGATTAACAATAAAGATTAAAAATAAGAAAAAGAGGCACATTACAAATAAGTCGTTGAAGCGCGTCCTACTGTAGATAAACACAACATCCCCGCTTAACTAACAATCATGTACCTCAAAGATGCAAAAATAAAGATATAGGTGCAAACAGAATACAGTGACGTCAACCTTGGTTTTAATAAGAAGTTAGTTTATGACACGGAACGCTAATGCAGTGGTGAAACTGTGAGTCGTGCATCTAGCAAGAACTTAACACACAAAATAATCATATTGATTCAAGCATTTAACATTTATGAATTAATTAAATGTCAGTAATGAACAATACTGCACAAATTATAGCGATCACGAAGAAGGTCCTTATTCTGTCCCAAACGCGTACAGTAAAGTGGATATACAGTATACAACACCATCAGTTATATTCAGGTGTATACTGCCACCTGTTGGCGCAGTTGTGTAACTTGGAGAACAACTTTCGTTATGTCGAGATCACGAGAAAATATTAAGGGGGTCATATGATGCGATTTCAAGTTTTCCTTTCTCTTTGGAGTGTTACAAGCTGATTGTGCATAGATAA